CCCGCGCCGCCGCTTGCTGCCGACTTCTCCCGACTCCATCTCGTCAGGGCGGCATACCGTCACGTGCCGCCCCATCCGAGCCCCCAACTCCCTCACACGCCAGTCCGACGACGGGTGTTTCGGTGCGCGGTCGCCGGCTGATGTGGGGGGCGGGAGCAACGTCTGATGGAGGAGAGGGTACATCTGGGGGGAATTATGGCATCCCGCTCAACTCGCTTGGCACCTCACGACAGGAAACGCTCTGGTTCCGAATGGCGGACAGAGTTACATGCAACCTTGATATGATGCTCGGAAGGCACTTCGACGAGCTAAAAGAACATACCCTAGAAGTGGCCTTGATATGCCGGGATGGGAAACTCGCCAAGCGGCGTAGAGGAACGTCACCCAGCGATCACTCCTCAGGCGCGGAGTAAAGCCCGCCACCTCCGGTCCGTGATGCTCGAGGCGTGCCGCGGGACCGTCCAACCACCACCTAGTGCGGGGCCGTTCCGGACCAAGCCGCGAGCGTGTGCCGAGGAGAAGCTCCACGTTATGCAGCACCACGCATGCGCCGATGGTTTCCGGCACCCGGCGCGCATGGCATTCCATTCTCCCATCCATTATTCGCCACTTCCCTTCAACCTCCCATTTACTTGCTCCGCTATCATCCTTTGTCTTGATTGCTGCTTGTTAAAAATAGCTTGTGCGTCCGGTAGAAGGCGGCCGGGGCTCGCGCGGTACGGAGGGAACGTGTAGTCGCGGAATCCATATGCCACGTCACACACGATCGTGTAGTTGCTGATCCCCCCGCTCTCGATGCGACAGCGAGCTTCACTTTCGTTGAATACCCGTGAGTTGTTCACGGAGCCCGGCCAACCCTCTAGGAAATCCCACACCACTCCATTTGAGTCGCATATTATCTGTAATATCATTCAATAAAACCCCTTCCTATTACGAAAGTCCTCACGGTGTATCCCAAAACCGCGGCACCGAACATAGGTGCCATCCAGGGCGCCTACGACGCCCGGGATTCCGCCCTCATGGCGGAAGTCTGCCTCCATTTGCCTCAGTTCTATGTCAGTAGGCCACGTTACCCATTCAGGGTACAAGATGTGATTGGTGAACCAAATGAACCGTCGCACAATACGCATTGCTTGTATGTGCGAGCATCCAAACCTAAAAGTGAGATCACGGTAGGTGCAGCCGACGCCGAGGTACTGCAGGGACATGGCGACATGCATCTTGACAGTGATGCTCGGAAGTTTTATCCCGCCCAAGTAGGCACAATAAGAGCGGCAGAGATAGTCGTAGACACGCTGGTCCACTCTCAGTTGCTCGTAGAAAATTACTGGCTTGAGCCAGTAAACCATCTCTTGCAACCCCTGCCTTGCGCGTTGGTGGTCGAAACGCAGCCATTTGTGGCATGCCTCCTCGTCAGCAATTGAGGCAAGCTCTGGAAGGAAAGCACCGATGAGCGCACACGAGGGGAGGAACAGGAGGGTGATGAAGCTGCTGTACAGCAGCTCCATCAGAGCGGCAAACTGGTGCTCGTTCATATTCGCTGGTGGAAGTGTCTCTTGTGTCTTTGCTTTGATGCCACTCCCTGTTTTTGTACCACTGTGTAGCAATGTTGTGTGTGGGCGTGGCTGGTTTCCGAGCCGCGGCTGGGTGTTGCAATTTTTTGTTGGGCGAAACAAATGGACGGTGGGTGATTGCGCTATGTTCGCACATGTGGCATCTTGACCAAGGTCGTCCGAACCTGCAAAATAGCAGAAGGCGGTCCGGACAACTCAAAGGTACACCTCTGTTTTGGTTTTCTGTTGCGTATGTTGTCCCGTCGTCAGTACGGACGTTCGCAAAATTTCTGTACGGACTTCCGTCCAGACTTTCTCTCCTAAGGAACCGCCGCACCACGCCCTAAACTCAGAAAACCGCAAACACCTCCAACCCAAGCGAATTTACGTCAGCACCCCTTGCCAATTGATTTTTCGCCAACACCCCCAAACCACTAGAATTTTTGCCAACACTCCAAACCACTCGAATTTTCGCCAACACTCCAAACCACTCGAATTTTCGCCAACACTCCAAACCACTCGAATTTTCGCCAACACCCCAAACCACTCGAATTTTCGCCAACACCCCCAAACCACTCGAATTTTCGCCAACACCCCCAAACCACTCGAATTTTCGCCAACACCCCAAACCACATCAATTTTCGCCAACACCCCGACCCACACAAATTTCGCCAACGCCACCAACCCACACCTCAACCACATGGAATACGTAGCGGATCTTGAAATTAGGAGGAAAACAACGTTTAGTTGCATAGATCATTAGAACGTAGGCTGCTCTGGATGATGCCCTTAAAAAAAGGACGAGTCCCCGTACTCATGGTCGGGTCGGGTCGACCCGACTCGCCTGCAGGTCAGGTATGACCCGACCCGTTTTCGTCGGGTCGGGTTGGAAGAATCCTAGGGTCGACCCGACCTGACCCGACCCGACCCGACCCGAACCCGACCTCTGGTCAGCCAAGTCGGGTACGGGTCGGGTCGGATCAGATAGATGCTCAAGCCTAGCTTCTCATGTGTTCTACTTCGTACTCACTCAGGTGCAGGCCCCCAGATTTCAGGCCATTTACCCTGATTCAGAGTTTTTTCACAGTGTTTGCTTGTACCAGCCCTGAACTACTAGGGTTTTTTTTGCACCCAGCCCTGAAATTTCAGCTTTTTTATAGGAGTGAACTCTGTCTGTACAGTTATGTTAGTGTTATGGACCCTGTTGCCTCTGCCTACTATCGGAGGACTACTCTGAATCCTACAACCGCATGATTCGGGGGCCCTGCCGTAACCACCGCCCGCTTTCCCTACTCGATGTGTGCTGGGGGCTATGTGAGGGCACTTTTTGGCCAGTGTGTGCTTAGGGCTGTGTAAGGGCACGCATTCGTCCTTATGTTTGGGCTAGTGTGTGTTGGGGGGCTGTGTGAGTGAGGGCGCGTGTTTACCCTTAAACAAATTTCGGCTAGTGTGTGCTGGGGGCCGTGTGAGGAGGACACGTGTGGGGAGGGCCCTTACCCAAATTTACGGCCCGTTGCGTGCCCTGGGGGCTTTTGAAAGAGGGCAAGCGAGATTCCCCTCTTCCGCCCCTGCAATCATATTTCGGCCAACCAATGGGATTGGTCGGTGACATGTTGGCCTTGTTTGCTTGCCCAACAGGGGATCCACCAGGATCCCGCCAGAGTGGTTCGACACATGCGCGACAGCCAAGCGACCTGCCGAGCCAGGCTGCGACCACCACATACCTCCGATCTAGGCTTGCCTAAATGGTGAAAATGGAACTGGTGGGGCCTTGGTGGAATTTCGGGAAGCTCAACAGTAAATTTGAAATACAAACAGTGTTTCATGGGGAAAACGCTAGTCGGAGCTCGGTGGATCGCTGGTCCCTTCGTTTTGGGGACCAGCGAGCCACCAGAGATGGGCCAGCACTGTTGGGGCAGCGTGAGGACGCCCGCTTGTAAGGATCGTAGAGCTCCCCAATAGCCCCAATGCTCGTTAATTGGCCTCGTTCATATTACCAGCATATTCTTCTAACAGAGTCGGGCAACACTGTTTTTTTCCCGTGATGGTGCTCCCTAATTTTACAGATCAATGTTGGAAATGCGCCAGTTCTACTCGAGGCTGGTTGGCCACTGTGGAAACCATGTGGTCACCCTATCGTTATTGTGCACTGCTGGTTCGACCAACGCAGTTGTTTGTTTGGCTTTTGTAACTACGCAATCACACGTGGGTTGATTGTCCTTTCCTCATTCTGGTTCGGTAGGAGAACCTTCGTTTCCGCGCGACTCAGATTGGCATGGCGGGTTCCTGGTGGGCCACCCAAACAGCCTCGTTGTTTTATCAAAAGCATTTAAAGCGAGCCAAAGCGTGCAAAAAAGGGAAATATCTAGGGAAAAATTGTTCTGCGGTGAATTTTAAGGTAACCCTGATTGCTAAGCGGGAAAGTTTTACATAACCCTGAAAATTCAGTCAAGTTTTGGGGGGAGGCCCTGAAAAATCAGACTAAACAGGGGGAGGGGGGGGGGAGGGGGCTGAGAAATCAGGGTGCCTCGAGACCAATCTTAGGCCATGCTCAGGTGTTCAGTTAGATCTGCGTCTCACGTGATAAACTTCATTAACGAGCGACACCGACCTCGACTGCAACATACTCACAAATCCTAGGAAAACCCAACCGATTTGACAGGGTTACCTTAGCCGCCTACAAAGGGGACGAAAACGATTGTATCTTCGTGATTGGTCCAACGACACCAGTCACCAGTCACCGTCACCAGCATGCCCTCAGTTTTCAGGCCATTTACCCAGATTCCGGGTTTTTTTCAGGGATTTTTAATGTACCAGCCTTATTTTGCTATGGTATTTTGTGCAACCTACCCTGATTTCAGCAGGACCTCGCCCAGCGATTGGGACTTAGCCAAATTCAGTTTCGACAACCAATAGACCAGCGTCGTTCAGCAGATGCAGATAACCTCGCGCGACAGAACGTGGCGGTTACCTGGCGGCGCAGACAAGGGAACCAGCGCATCGCGTTCATGCACGCAATCATCCCCCACGGCAAGGCCCCTTCTGCTAGCTCCATTTCTTGCTCCCACCTGCTTTTCCCCTAAACATTACTTCTCCTCGTCGTTCTGTGTCTGCAATTCATTGCAGCACGCTGCTCGACTCGCAGATGCCATGGTCGAGCCAGTCGACCCCGACGAGCCTGACAGTACTCGGCACCTGGACTCTTACACGGGTCTAGACCTGGAAGCAGGATGACAGGCTTGCCATTCCACTCAGGCTTTTGTGCCAGACATACCGTATTCTCCCAGATACAGTACCCGCCGGATTTAAGCTCCCATAGGTGGCTTGAGCGGGTATGGGTGTTTAATTAAACTGGATCTAGTTACCACCCTACTTTTGGGCTTGAAAACAATTGAACACCCCCCGCCACTTAGAATCCTTATTTCGACAGGGAACAACAGAATTTGCCGTGCATAGTTGCGTGCGTAAACGTGAGGGCGAGTGGGGGAAACGAGCTGGTGGTCAACCCGAATGTGTAGGAACGGAAAAAAAAAAATTTCGAAACCTCAAAATCCAAATTGTTCATTCTCGACTCTTGCACCCTCCCGCTAAAACAAACCTCCGCTGCCGCCCACTGATTGGAGGCAGTAAGGACGAGGCCTGCAGCACTCGTTGATTGGCTGATTTGCCAGTCCTCCAAGTGTCGGATACGGGCAACCAACGGCAATAATAACGGCAACGCGCCAGCCAGCTGCAGCAATGGCGGACTCAGAGTAGCGGTAGGAATTAAGGAGAGAAGGCGGCTGCAATAACAGTGATGTTGTAGTACAACACGAGTGTCATAGTGGTGTTGAACTTGAAAGTGGCACCCGGAGGGATTATCACCGAGTCCTCAGGTGCACCCAGGGGAGGGAGTACCTGCCACGAGGAATTGGAATGGAGGAGTTGAGAGACAGAATGGCAGTTGATGATTAGGTGGAGTTGGGGAAGATTGGAGGGAGGGCAGTGTGTGTGAGAGAGAGGAGCGAGGGAGGGAGGGAGGAAGGGAGGGACGAATGTCAAGAGGAGGGGGAAAGATCAAAAGAGAAAGGAGAGAGCAGGAGGGAAACATGCAGATGGATACCAAGCAGGGGAAGGAGCAAGTAAGAGGGCCTGGCAAGGAGTAAGACACTCGCCCATCTCCAAGATGATAATCTGCTCACACAATGGCGATGTGCGAGGCACGGCACGGAGGGATCTTACCCTGAACTGATAATTTTCTTTACTGTGTTTATTAGCTATGCCATATCCAATGAACTGCAGGCGGGGCATGAGGAAGTAGGGGCGAAATCTGCCATTGTAACTAAAGAAGTTGATGCTCAGGCGAGAGATGGCCCGCTGCTGACACGTGTTGGTCAGAATGACCTGAGAAGGCGTGGGAAGAGGGAAGGAGGGAGGAGGGCAACGGGAGGGGAGGGGCGGATGGGCAAGGAGAAGCTGAGGGAAAAATGAGGCATCAATTGGATGCGAGGTTGAAGGAGAGAGTTCATTCGAAGGGAGAGCAGGGGTGGGAGAGCATTATGAAGAAACAAATATACGAACAGAAGGTAGTAGGTAAGATGCGAGAAAGGCGGAGTGCGGAGGGCGGAGGGCGGAGGAAGACCTCATAAGGAAACAAGCGATCCACGATGGGAACCTGGTCATAGAGGAATGTCGTCACCACCACTGCTGTTTCAGCGCTGCCGTCCCTGCACTCTGCACGGCAGTGGGGTGGATACGGGGAGATGGGCGAGGGGATATAGGAGATATGGGAATATCGGAGTAAAGGGGGTTGGGTCATGCAGATACCGCACAAGAGCATGTGGGAAGAGGGCACAGAAAAAGACAGAAGAGCGGAAGTGAGGGCAAGGGCATTGGGGAAGGGGGGAAGGGGGAAGGGGAGAGGGTAGCAGGGAGAGGGGCTAAGGAGTGTGGTGTGGGAGGCTATTGGCTTGAGGCTTCTGCCGGCCACCTGCGGGCAAAGTTGGTGGTTGTGATGGTGCTGCCACAACCGCCCCAGCACCCGAGGCTAGAACCCGATGGACGGGACGAGAGGACCCGGAGGCGCTGGCCAGTGTTGCCGTCCCCACCTGCAGCTGCATACTGCTCAGTCCCTCCCACACGCTGCTGCTGTCACTGTCACCGTCAGCAGCAACTGCTCCCTCATCTGCAGCAGCAGGAAGGGCAACAGCAGGAGGGGCAGGAAAAGCAGCAGCAGCAGCAGTGCAATGGAGGTCCGTACCATCACTAGAGCCTTTGTTGCTCGCTTCTCTCCCCTCCCTCCCCTTCACCCGCCCTCAGCATCTGTCCCATCCCTTCCAGCTGCCTCACCCCCACCCTCCCTTCTGCCCCCACCGCTTTTTCCACAACAAACCCAAAGTCCCCCCCTACGCCCTCTAACATCCCCCGACCTGGCGCTTCCCCCCCAAAGGTGCCTCCCCTGCCGTCCCCGCCAGCATCAGCACCATTGCCAGAGTAAGGCAAGGCAGTGCGGGGAAAAGCGCGCGGTGGGAGAGAGCGAGCACCATGGTCAAGAGGGAGAACGAGCGCGCGGAAAGGGGCGGCTGAGATGGCGCAAGTCTGCGCGGAGCAGCGGGCGGTGGGCTGCGAGGCGGCGCCAGATGAGTGGCGGGACTCGCGGAGTGGGTGAGAGCGGACGATGCTGCCACTGCGACTTGCATCCCCAGTAAGGCACGGGTTCGCTCCTCGGCCGCCAGAAGTGACTCTTTCCGCATGGAAGCTCGGTTTTGGATGTTTGAGCTTCAAGCTGCAAGGTGGGGAGAGAGGGAGTGAGGGGCTGTGTTGCTCCCTATGAGATGCGGCCAGGGGGTGAATGGCCTGGCTGGGGGTGAACGGCTGGCCAGGGAAGGACCGCGGATGTGGGAAGGGAGGGTGTGTGTGATGGGTAGAATTGCTCACTCTGAGCTGCCACGAAACCATGGGTGGGGACGGGAGTGAAGGGCATGCTTGAGGTGAGCAGTCTGAGCATCGGTGGGCGGTCTGAGCATCTGTGAGCAGTCTGAGCATCGGTGGGCGGTCTGAGCATCGGTGGGCGGTCTGAGCATCTGTGAGCAGTCTGAGCATCGCGAGGACAAGTGGGGATGTGTGACCTGCCAAGGAAGGAACGACCAGTGGAGACGGGAGAGACCGAGTGGAACAGCAGTGCACACTTGGGGCAGCTTCCGGGGGGGAGCAAGGAGGTGTGGGATGGAGGCGACAGGGTTTCAAGGCAGCGGGGTTCACGCAAGGCACCGCAGATCCCAGTGGGGGGAGGTTGGCATGCCAAGGGGGGAATGACCTGGGGTGGGGAGAGATAGGGACTGAGGTGCATGGGTGCAGTCAAGGGGCGTACCATTTTGCGAAGGAAACGAAAGATTTGTATGGAACGGATGCAGGAACGAGGAATCAGAAGTAGGATGAAGCAAAACGGAGGAAAAACGGAATGAAGGTCAGAAAGCGGAAAAAGTGCCCATGGAAAAGCAGGAACGCCCAACTCTCTGCCTCCTAATTGCGTTGCTCTCTCCCCCCTAATCGCCTGAAACTTTGAACGATCTACCAGCATTGTCGAAATGAGTTGCAGCTGCTCAAATCGACCTTGCTGCTACGTCGAAATGGGCCCTTAAAGCCATCGCACAGAATGGTTGAAATCAACTTCAAAATTCTTGCAGTTGAATTCGTCAAACGACAGGGTTACCCTTTAAAGGTGACGACACCCTCGCCACCCGCAGAAATGAGAGAGCTGTGCTGTGAAGCTGCTGACTGGCCGGATCTAAAGGGGTTGGCATTCGCCACCAACCTCGCACAAGCAACTGTTCACAGCTCCGCACACCACTCTGTACCAAAGGGAATGGGTCAAAACGAGGTTACCAGAGGGGCGCAGTGGAATTGCACCTTCACATCTCAAGTACAGGGAGGGGGGGAGGGATAGCAGGATGGCGGAAGGGGGAGGGAATGGGGGTGGCGCCCTGCTCCACGCGGCGACGGGCTACGTTCTGCCCATCCGCGGGGCAAGGGTGAGGCGCCCTGCTTCACGCGGCAAGTCCGCTACCCCGGCGCACCGACCGATGCCCTCCCGCATGGAGTCCACTCAACCCAAGCCCGCCAAGAACGAGACGCCCTCACGCCTATCCTGCGCAGCCCTCGCGCGCAGCCCGCCATGCCCTCACTCACGCCAAGCCGTGCACGCCAGTCCTTGCGCCGAGCGCGGACTGCCCTCGCGACTAGGCCTGACCGTAAACGCGCCTATCCCGCATTCCCCGCTGCGCCCACCTGGCTTTGCCCGCCAGCCCGTTGAGATAGGGCCGTAGGGAACTCGGGTGACCGACCGGATGGGGGACACAGGGCGAGGGAGAGCGCAATATATTTTGACAATTCTAAAAAACGAAAGAGGGTGGGGGAGATAGGGAGCGCTGGGGGTGGCAAGAGGGGGAAACAGGCAATGTGGGGCGACGGCGGAATGTGGGGATATGAGCGCGGGCGGAACATGGGGATGGTTGCGCGAGGGCGGAATGTGGGGATGGTTGCGCGAGGGCGGGATGGGGACCTTGGAGTGCGCTAGTAATGCTGGACATCCGCCGGTGGTTTTTTCGCCGCGCGCAGGTTTTCCTGATGGGGCTGTGCTCGGCGGACGTCACCTGTGCGTGACTCGCGGCCTGACGGATGCACCGTGCTACAGCACCTGCCGCTATTCCCCGTTGGCGTGCCTGTTGGATTGCTGGTACTTCCTTCTGCTGCCGCATTGGGGGTACTTTCAGATACGACCTAGTAGTTAGGAAATGGGCTGTAGTCCTAACCGTCCTAGCACCAAGGTCAAAATAAATGATGTGGCTTCCGCATACCTTGGCAGAAGGCTATCGAGGAGGATGTCGGAAGACGAAATCCTTCACAAAACCGAACCATAGCTATCCTCGCTACTAAAATATTCATTTTTGCATCCAGGAAAATTGTAACACAAGTTCCCAGCAGTTTCCACAGTGCATACATGTTCATTCCAACCAAAAAAAAATTGGTCACCACCTAAGCAACCCCTTGACGTTTTGCATGTTGAGCTTTGGTAATTAAATTTTCGTTCAATGATTGACAAGCATTGCGTGGGTGGCATAAGGATGGCGATCAGCAGCATGCCAAAAGAACTGAGTGCCCCCCTATGGTCTCGTGCACTCACCTACTGGTTGCAGCACCGTGAACCTTCCCCTTCCCCTGCTCATCCCATCATCTCTGCGCACACACTATGCACTACCATATTGGTGCTCTGAACACTTGATGCATAGATGATGATACACTGCTGCATACATGGTGCTACCCATTCATGTAGACATGACATAACATGAGAATGCAAATGGTACTACTCTTGTATACATGAAATTCACATTGGTGTACACATGAGCTCGAACACCCTCCTACTGATGGCAGCACCAACAGCCTTCCCCTTCACGTGTACGCCACACAGCAACCGCTCCTGCGCCTCCCTGTCACCCTCCTGCCATGAAAGTCAAAGATCCATGGGTGGGGGATGACGCGAGGCAAGAGGGAGCGCAGATGAGAAGATTCGAGGAGGTGCGTGGGGGGCATGTGATGAGGGAAGAGGGGAAAAAGGGGGAACGGGCAGATGGGAGGGAGCCAGGTATCACCCGCAGCCTTGCCCTACACGTGCACTTTGCTACACAGCAGCCGCTCCTCTGCCTCCCTGCCGCCCTGCTGGCATCAGAGTGAGAGGCAACAAGGAGGGGGTTGAGTGGGGAGCACGGGGTGGGGGATGAAGGGAGACAATAGGGATGGTAGTGAGTAGGAGCGAGGCAGCACCGACCACCCTCTTCTTCACGTGCACGCCACCCAGCAGCCTCTCATGCGCCTCTCGTACGCCTCTCGTGTGCCTCTCGTGCGCCTCTCGTGTGCCTCTCGTGTGCCTCTCGTGCGCCTCCCTCTCACCCTCCTGAGCATGTGGGTGAGACGCAAGTGCCCACTAAGAACGGGTTTAGTGAGGGGCATGAGACTAAGAACAAGGGGAGATAAGAGAAAGGGCAAGCCGAGTCATCTGGGTGCAGACGAGTCAGCTGGGTGCAGGGGGGGGGCAGGAGAGGGGCAAGTGGACGAGATGATGGATGATAAACGGATAACATAAGGAGGGTGCACCAACACACTTAGCAAACAGAAAACTAGCGAACAGTCAGCAAGGCACCATTAGTTGCAATAAGAGCAGCAAGCAGAGAAGAACAAGGAAGGCAAGCCACACCAGAAAGGCATAGGCAGAGTGGAGGGTGTGCAGGGAGGGGTAGCGGTGCAGGATGGCAGAGGCCATGTCCACTGTCAGGCCCCGTATCTGGTGGCACAAGGGAGTAGGGTGCGGTATGAGCGGGTAGGGTGTGGTATGCGGTGGTAGGATGTGGCATCGGCCTTCTCCACGCATAGTGTCCGGGGAGGGGCAGCGGCGCAAAATGGCAGAGGCCATGGTGAATGTTTGACCGTGCAGCTGGGAGGACAAGGCAACACGACAAGGGGGGATACGAGTGGCAGTGTGGGTGGTAATGGGGAGTCTTTCAGCTAGGATGCCAGAGGCCTCGCACTGCAGCAGCGTGTGTCCAGTTGGACCAAATACGAACAACTCACCTTCAGCAGCAAGTGAAGGAGCAGCAAACGCACCTGCAGGCATCTGCTGCCAACCAACCTGCAGCAGCATGTGGCCGAACACATCCTCGACCGCAGCAGACACACCTGCCGCAGCAGCAGGTGAGTGAAGGTGCAGCAAACGCACCTGCAGCAGCAAGTGGCCGAAGACATCCCTGACTGTGAGGGACTGCGAGGAGCGACAAGCTTCTACAAATTAGTCAAACGTGATGCAGCAGACACGAAAGGGGAGAGGAGATGGCAGGGCATTGGGCAGCTGGGGCGGAGGAGAGAGTGCACGATGGAGTGGAGCTGTCCGAAGGGTATGGGAGAGGTGGTTGCATACGTGGGTGATGGCACGTGTGAGGTGCTCGTAGTGCCGGCGGGTATGCGCGATGCACGTCGTGTGGTGCACATCAAAGCCGTCGTGTGGTGCACATCAAAGGCGTCATTCATGCGCTAGTGTTTGTACGGAGCTGGTGGGGAGAGAGGGCAAGGGAAAAGGAGGGAGAGGATAGGGGGAGAGAGGAAAGCGAAAAGAATACAGGGAGAGTGGGCAATGTATGCAATGTGGGGCGCGTCAAAGCCGTCCTGCACTAGCGTCTACACAGACCTGGCGGGGGGAGAAAGGGAAAACAGAGGGGGGTTGGGGGAGAGCAAAGTGGGGGAGAAGAGAGATTTGGAAGAGGAGAGAGAGTGGAGAGCAAACGGAAGATAGGCAGTGCGTGCGATGCATGCTGTATGATGCATGTTGTGTGCTGCATGCTGTGTGATGCATGCTGTGTGATGCATGCCATGTGATGCATGCCATGTGATGCATGCCGTGTGATGCATGCCGTGTGATGCATGCCATGTGATGCATGCCGTGTGATGCATGACGTGTGATGCATGCTGTGTGCTGCATGCTGTGTGATGCATGCTGTGTGATGCATGTTGTGTGCTGCATGCTGTGTGAGGCATGCTGTGTGATGCATGCCGTATGATGCATGCCGTGTGATGCATGTTGTGTGATGCATGCCATTTGATGCATGCTATGTGATGCATGCTGTGTGCTGCATGATGTGTGATGCATGCTGTGTGATGCATGTTGTGTGCTGCATGCTGTGCGATGCATGCTGTGGGATGCATGCTGTTTGATGCATGCCGTGTGATGCACTTCAAAACTGTCATGTGCAAGTGTTTGGGCGGACCTGATGCTGGTGTGAGGCGGTTACATGAAAGGCAGGGATGAGAGAAAAAGGGGGGTGAGGAGGGCAGGAGGAATGAAAAGCAAGAGACATGCATGCCGTGTGATGCATGCCGTGTGACACATGTGGGAGGTGGGAGGGCTAGGGAAGGGAAGGGAGAGGAAAACGATATTTTGAGTGATTTATGTGGGGCGGTGTGTGTTGAAACCTCCATGACTCATGAATGAGAACATCAGACTGCATTCAGCCACAACTGGTGCCGCCTCACCCTCCAATGCTCTTGAGTGCCCTTACCAAAGGTCCTGCATCCATCCAAACCCTTTCCAAAGTCTTCGCCTTCTAATCACCCAATCTTAGTTTAGCTTAGGGTTGCTTTTCATTCAACTGTTTTCTATCATGCGAGTGCGGTTGCTGCCTTGCCACTTACATACAAAGTGCATGTAAGATGATTCCGTGTCCGTGCTACTTTATGCTACCATGTTCCATTCCAAAAGCGCGAGTCTCCGCCATGCACCGTGCAGAGATGCATAAGCTCACAGAACGAGATGGAGAAGGGGACAACGCACGCCGTGCGCATGCTCTCAGTGCCGTTGCTGGTGTCCAGATTTCCCTCAACCACGTAGATTGGGCAGCAGGCGTTGAAGAGTGCAAGAAGGGTGGTTTCGGACCTTTGAAACACATTGTAAGGAAGGCGACGGGCGGAGAGTGCAAGGCAAGAGGCCATGTGTGAAAGGATAGAGAAGAGGAAGCTCGCACGAGCCGAAGATAGGGATTGGGTGAATTGTTGGTTTTGGAATAATATTATCGGAAAAGAAGACGGGACTGCAAGTGAAATGACACCCAAAGCTGTGAGTCTGCCAGTGGGAATAAAGCGTGCTGCTGAAAGTGGCCAGACATGCATGGCTGGGCTCTGTGTAGCCCAAGAGGCCCTTTTTAAGGTGCCTCTGAAAAGGACATGCTGCTGAAAGTGGGGGAGGGCGTACATGCATGTCTACTACAGTCTAAGGGATGCAGGCCGTAGTTTATTAGACCAACTTCGGGTTGGGTTTGGTCGCGTTGGTCTCCTAAATCGCTCAGATTGGGTTTGGTCGCGTTGGATTTGGTCGACATCGACCTGACGGGATCTGCGCGACCGAAATCGCTCATATATGGAATTTCTACCATTTATTAAGCCCGTCAACCCGAAACTTCTTTGGTAACCTTCTTCCTAGCCTAAGTCAACATCCTACCTAGTTCCTTGCAGAAGCAGAGGGCTACTTTAGCTAGTACTAGTGTGTCCACCCTTCCTTATGGCAGATTGTTCTAGCGGTTTAGGCTGATCTGGATCTTGTTTTTGATGGAGTCGAGTCAACACACACACCCTAAACTCAGAAAATCGCGAACACCTCCAACCCAAGCGAATGTACGTCAGCACCCCCTGCCACTCAAGTTTTCGCCAACACCCCCAAACCACTCGAATTTTCGCCAACACTCCAAACCAGCCGAATTTTCGCCAACACCCCAAACCACTCAAATTTTCGCCAACACCCCCAAACCACTCAAATTTTCGCCAACACCCCAAACCACTCGAATTTTCGCCAACGCCCCGACCCACACGAATTTCGCCAAAGCCTCCAACCACTCGATTTTTCGTCAACACCCCAAACAAACCAAAATCTTGCACGCACCCCCCAACTTGCCGATTTTTGCCAACACCCCCAACCACATGGAATACGTAGCCAATCTTAAAATTAGGAGGAAAACAACGCTTGTCACATAGATCGTTATAACGTAGGCTGCTCTGGATGATGCCCTTAAAAAAGGACGCGTCTCCGTACCCGTGGTCGTGTCGGGTCGACCCGACCCGCCTGCGGGTCAGGTATGACCGGACCTGTTTTCGTCGGGTCAGGTTGGAAGAACCCTAGGGTTGACCCGACCTGACCCGATTCGACCCGACCCGAATCCGACCTCGGGTCAGCCAAGTCGGGTACGGGTCGGGTCGGGTCTGGTAGATGCTCAAGCCTAGCTTCTCATGTGTTCTACTTCGTAG